CTGCAGCAGCTGCTGCAGCACCGCTACGACAGGGAGTTGGCCCCAGACTAAACCCTAAACCCTAAACCCTAGCTCTCGATTGAAAGAAGGGCAGAAGCCGTGATGCGAGCGTTGCGTCTTTGGAAAGCAAACCCTAGACCCAACGTGAGGGTTTAGGGTTTGCGGTTTGCAAAACCCTAGTGCGGGGGTTTAGGGTTTAGGGGTTGCAGCACCGCGCCGCCTCTTCGCTGCACCTGAAACCCTAAACCCTAAACCCTAAACCCTAAACTTCTGCTGGCGAAGCGAAGGATTTAAAACTTTGACAATTAGACAAGAGACAAGATCAGACCTCTCCCACATGAATTAGATTTTAGGGTTTAGGGTTTAGGGTTTTCTTCTACGGCGATTTGGGGGAGGCGGAGTTTACGGCCAACAGGGCAGTAAGGCCGGGCGAGACAAATGGCGCACTGCAAACCACAAACCCTAAACCCTAAACCCTAAACCCTTACTCAGCACCCTCCCTGAATCTCCGCAGCCACCAACTAAGCAAAGCTGCCGTACACAAGGGTTAGGGTTTAGGGTTTAGGGTTTAGGGTTTACTGCAGGGTTAACGGGTTTGCATATTTGCTGCCCAAAGCCAACCAAAAGAAGATTCACATCCTCCCAGTGCTTCCTGAACAAACCCTAAACCCTAAACCCTAGCGCGTGCAGCTGCGCTGTCTTTTCCGCTAGATTTACACCAGAGATGGTGCTCTAGGGTTTAGGGTTTAGGGTTTAGGGATTAGGGTTTAAGGTCCAGTTACGGCTTGGAGACCCAGAATTTCGCAATTAGGGTTTAGGGTTTAGGGTTTAGGGTTTCGCGAACCTGGGGAGGCAGTCTTCAAGGGCAATCTCCGTCTCCAGTGGAGTCTTAGTCTTGACCCACCCAAGTCTGCAGCAAACCCTAAACCCTAAACCCTAAACCCTAAACGCCCGACGTGAGGGCTACGTGTGCGTTTAGCGGGCGATCAAAAACCCTAGGCCACCTAGGGGTTAGGGTTTCCGGGGACTTGCTAGGGTTTAGGACTGCTAGGGTTTACGGTTGCTAGTGTTTAGGGTTTAGGATTAAACGTCTAGGGCCTGTTGGGTTTATGACTGGGGTTTGCGGTTTGTAAGAGTTTAGGGTTTGTGAGGGTTTAGAGTTTGCGAGGGTTTAGGGTTTAGGGTTTGAGCTTTGGCCCACCTGTTGCTAATGCGGTGAACATGCACATCAACGGCAATGCCGTGGAAGGAGTTCCAAGCCTGAAAAACCAAACCTAAACCGTAAACCCTAAACCCTAATAAACCCTAAACCCCAATTAAGGGTTTGGCTCGGGCAGGTTCTACCGTGCAGCTGCGCAGTTTGGGCCCGCAGGCGCCGGCGCGGCGCGACCAGGGTCTAGGGCCTAGGGTTTGAAAGCTAGGGTTTAGGGTTTAGGGTTTAGGGTTTAGGGTTTGGGGACCGCATGCATGACGATGTTGGCCATCTTCCTCCCCACGCCTCGGAGCTTCACTAAACCCTCGAGGGTTTGGGGAACTTCTCCTCCATGTTCCCTAATTAGGGTTTGTGCTGCTTCTTTCAAAAAAAGGGTTTTGTTGTTGTGAAACCCCACGCCAAACAACAGCCCCCGCAGCTTCTCTGCACGCAAACCCTAAACCCTAAACCCTAAACCCTAAGCCCTAGACCCAAAATCCCCGCAGCTTCTCTGCGCCCAAACCCTAAACCCTTAACCCTAGACGCTAAACCCTAAACCATCGCCGGGACGTTCGCCGCGTGCGGGCCGAGCGGCCCGCGCACTCTTACGAAAACACTTTATTAGGGTTTGGGCTTTAGGGACCTACTAGGGTTTAGGGTTTAGGGTTTAGGGTTTAGCGCCAGTGCAGCGAGCGGGTTCCCGTTGAACAGCGTGGGCTTGGAGCCTGAGGGTTAAGGGTTTCGGGCCGCCGCCGAACCCGGACCTCAAAAGCCAGACCTTAGGGTTTAGGGTTTAGGGTTTAGGGTTTAGGGTTTACCGGAGTCGCAGGCAGCGAGGGCTTGAGGGCTTAGAAGTCCATTTTCTCTCAGCCGCGAAACACAAGCATGAGTTTGTTCATCTTTAGTTTG